AAACCTTTCGAAGCTCCGTGAGCCCAGTAGGCCACAACCCCGAAGCTCTGAAGGCTTGAAGTCTCATGACGAGGAATCCTTCTTAGTCTGGGCGCGAATGCAAGGACCCTGGCCTGCTGGAAGCCTTGCTGCCTGAAGCCCCTTGGTGGCTTCTGCGGATCGCAGCTTCCTTGGAAATCTCAGGTTGTTGAGTTATAAAGAGATTATGGGACGAAGGGGCTGCACTGTCTGAGTACAGCGAAAACAGGCCTGCCCATTGCCTTTAACCCGACACCTCCATGCCCTGCACACCGAATCCTAGCCGCAAAGCCTTCTCACCGTCAGCTTGTTTAATTCCCGAAGCCCCCCAGCAACCGAAAACTGTACAATCCAAATCTCGCATGGAAACAACAGCATCCGTGCCTGAATGCTCAACGCACTCGCGTTCCAAAAAGTGCCATTCCGTACCAAGGATGTTCTCGCGCATCACCGTTACCCTCCTCACCACATCAGGGGTATCACCATGCAGCTCTTTTTCCTCATCGCTATCGGCAATGTTGGGCTTTTCACATGCACCAGTGACAATAGCAGTCCCAACAACACAGCAACAGCGAGTACGAAGGAAGGAAGCAACAAAGGAAGACAGTAAGTAAGCAAGTAAAGCAAGTACGGAAGTACGGAAGTAAGTAAGGCAGCAAGCAAGCAAGAAAGCAAACAAGTATGTACGTGGGTCTGTTTGTTTGTCTGTCTGTCTGTCTGTCTGCGTCTGTCTGTCTGTCTGTCTCCGTGTCTGTGTCTATGTCTGTTTGTTTGTTAGTTTGTCTGTCTGACTGGCTGGCCGACTTGCTGTCCGTTTCTGTATGTGTATGCGGTTGTACTGTAATATGCTGTAATGTAGCGTAGCACGATGCAATGTTACGCAATATGCTGTAACGCAAAAGAACTTCTGTGTGCGTGCGCGTCCATGCAAGCCTGTGTGTCTGCCTGCTTGCCTGACTGCCTGAATGTCTGTTTGTTTGTCTATTTGCCTGACTCGTATGTACGTATGTATGTATGTATGCATGCATGCATGTGTGTGTGTGTGTTTATGTATATACGGAAACCAGCACAAAAAATATTTAGCTTCGATGATGACGATGATGATAGTGGGGATGGTGATGCTGATGGTCATACTGACGAGAACTGTGGCGATGATGATGGTGATGACCACTATGATAACGGTGAGCTGACGTTGAACACATATATATATATATATACATGCATACGTACATGCGTACGTACACACATACTGCGACGCGTGGCTGTGATTGTCTTCAGCCCCATATTCGCAAGGGTTTTGTATTGTCATTATCCTATAGGCTGTGATTGTGATTTCAAGCTTATGTGTTTGCATTTGGTCGGGCTTAAACGTTTTGGACTGTTTCTGGTCGCACTTGCGGCATTGGATATCCTGAGATTTCTACATGCAAAAAACGCATGTTTACAACGGTATGTGCGCGGTGAGCATGTCGGGCATGTGTACACATGGCATGTAACCCTAAGCCGAATGCAGTTTTTGTTGGAGGCGAGGAAGAAGGCTGGCACATTCCAGCCACAGAATCTTTCGATCTCGGCCTTCTCTCTGGCACAGCTTCGTATCAGCGACCGGTCCACCCTGAGCCTTGGCCTCTCAAATTATCCTGGCCCCGTAGGACAGTGAGTAGACAGGGGTCCTGAAAGTAACCCTGCAGCCCTCAACCCTTTACCCTAATCAGAACTGCACGGCTTTCGAGGTTTGGCCCTCCTTCCCTAATTGGAGGGGCAGCAGCAGCAAGTTAGTTCAAAAATTGCAACATCGGGATGTTGATTGTTGGGTTTTCTAGGGCCTGAACCATGGTGAGCTTTTGCATGCGCACTTGCAAGTGACGTCCACTTAGAGCATTCCGACCCTCTTAAAACTGAAAGCCCTGACCGGCAAATGTTCAAGTTCCTGGACCAGCCTCGCATGCGTTGCCCGAGTCGCCAGAGTCCAAATCCTGAAACGCCTAAGACCCTACATTCAAAGACTCTCAACCGGAACGATGCCTGTCACGCCTTTAGGAGCCGGTTATTGGAGAACTCTGCTCTGCGCGTAGGTGGGCAAGCACCAACACTTGCAGGGTGTCGGCTTAGCCCCAGGGGTTTAGGCTCTTGAGTCGCGCTTTCTTGTGGTATTGCGTTCAGCGGGTTCGGCGAGAAATGTCCATGCACCTGAAACAGGCCAGGCCTGGCTAGGCTGTTTATTACAAGCTTTCCAGGGTGACGATCAGCTTGGAGCCGTGTGTCAAGACCGTGTAACTTGTCTCATTGTTGTTTCTGTCCGTATACACAGAAGCACGCGTGTATGTATGTATGTATGTATGTATGTATGTATGTATGTATGTATGTATGTATGTGTGTGTGTGTGTACGTGTGTACGTACGTACGTACGTACGTACGTACGTACGTACGTACGTACGTACGTACGTATGTACGTAGGTAGGTAGGTAGGTAGGTAGGTAGGTAGGTAGGTAGGTAG